ATTCAACTAGTTTTGGCAGTGCTTCCCCATGTTATGCTAGGATATGTGGATAGAAATGATTTGAATGTGTTCTTAACAAAGAATATCCCCTGAATTTAAGGCGCATTCATCTGGTTGAAGCTGCCAACAAAGCACCTTACTTAATTTTTCCATTCCAATATCTCTTCTCTCATGAAACCTTTATCACACAAATAAAACACAACCTGTTCTTTTGGCTGTCTGTGTCCAGGGCGACTCTGGTGGCCCCCTTAACTGCAAGAACAGCGAAGATGTGTGGGAGGTCCATGGAATTGCCAGCTTTGTCTCTGGTCTTGGATGCAACTTTGTGAAGAAACCCACCGTCTTCACCCGTGTTTCTGCTTTCAATGGGTGGATCGACAGGGTAAACAGAACAGAACACAGACATAAGATCTGCGTCAAGCTAAATTGTTTTAAATGACTATATTTTTTTTTTGTTTTTTTTCAGGTCATGATGGAAAACTAACGTGGATGAAATGTGAATAAAACATGGAATTGTGACACTGCACTTGTCTTGTTTGTTTTTATACACAGCAGAATACAGCAAAACCATGTGGGCGTTTTTAAATCACTGCAGAAACTGGTTAATCCCTTGGTATGGAATTAAAAGCAATATCAACAAATGTCCAGTAGGTGTCCTCATTACCTCGTGATATATAAATGCTTCTGACAGCTTTCTGTAATAAAAAGTTATGCAGTTCTAAAAACAACAATGGTTTAATGTATTATTATTATTAATAACTAATAATAACAATAATAATTATTATTGTTGTTGTTGTAATAATAATAATAATTATTATTATTATTATGTTTTTCACTTCTGATGTTCTGGTAAGAGTTGAGATCAAATGTACATTTTACCTACATTTAGTGATGGTGCTTTAATTTGTTTAGTTTATTTTTAAAGATAATCTTAAAAAGACTATAGGAATTAATGGTATATAATGCAGAATCCTATAAAAACAAATCTGCATAAAAAATGTGTTTGTGATTTATTTAATTTCCCTGCCTGTCTGGCCTTAACAAATAGGACAAGTCTAGCTTTCCGTCATGGTAACAACACTCACACTAAGGTGAGAAGGGTGAGATACTGTAGTTTCACACCGTCTGTCAGCTTGTTTTCACAGTGAGGAGTGAGAAGAAGAAAGCAGATGGAGGGGAAAATGAAGAAGAGATTTAAAGTGCTTATGACTTGTTTCATTTATATCTCATTCACTCTCCTTTGTGCTACATTTGCAAAGTCCACCCGCAGTCACAAATGTTCACTGGTTTGGTTTTTGGCAGTGTAATAGAAGAGTGCATGGGTGTTCAGTGATGAGACGTCACGTGTGTTTGTGTGTGTGTGTCCACAGGTCTCTAAAGCTACATTTGGGTGCATTTGTCTCATTTCTTCTTCTGATGATTTTTTTTCTTGTCCCAGACATATCAGCCTGTGATCACTGATAACTATTCCATCTAAGCTTTCACGTCGCCTCCAGCACAAGTGCTGCTCACTGACTAATCCAGACCTATTTTGTCTGTGATGCAGACATTCATAAATATTGACTGCCTGCTTAGAAGTATGTGGTGTGAAAAAACACACTCACACACACACACAAAGTGAACTGACACTCCAACACTTTTACGTTGTTAGAAATAATCTCTTGATTAGAAATCTCTGCAGCTTAACATCAAATGTTGCAGTGTTTGATGAGATACTTCTCATGCAGTCGTAGTCAAATCATCATCTTTCAATAACTTGATGTTCTAATTTAATTACATTTGAGGTTTGGTTTAATGCTTTTATTTATGATTATTAAGCAATGCCATTGTTTCAGTTACTACAGAGTCAGTCACATTAAATCAGTGTTTCATAAAACTGTGTCTGCAGTGCCTCCTCCCCTTTTTAAGGATTATTGTCAACCCCTCTGGTCCAATTTAGTATAAAACTTGGGCCTCTTGGGTTGATACCAACTCTGATGTACTGAGGAATTGGAGAAAGACACACAGAAGATCTTCAACAGCTCTAGGCGCTCATTGTATAGTCTTATTTTTTATTGTCATCTGCTGCCCCCTAGTGAAAGAGTATTTACCTGTCCTGCATGTTACTGAAGAAGTGAAATGGAAATTATTTGCAGAAAATACATTAATTTTCAGACCAATTAAGTGACATTTTTTCCTGACACAAATCACTGTAGGTCACTCTTCTATAAGCTGTTGACTAGAGGAAGGACAAAACTTAGTGTGCAAGGTATGCAGTGAAAATTTGCATGAAATGTACTTTAAGGCTTATAGTACATTTCATCTGCTCTTGAGCCTTTACATCTGAACTGAAGTTGTCCAGACTCATCAGTACAGATACATTGTGTCTCAGTTTTGCAATACGCTACACCTAGATTTAGCCGACGGCAACTGCAAAGGCTGCAGAATCGTGCCTTGGCTTTTAAAGAGAGAAAACACAGTGGTGTCAGCCTTTTCCTTAAACAGGTAGGACACCTGGATGATCTTATTTCCTGCCTCATTTTTCTCTTTCTAACTTTGAGTTCTGAAGTTCTGTCAGGGCTGTGCAGAATTTTTTCTTCAGAGAAAAATTAAGTCACTTTTACACAGTTATGTACAGTCATGTTATGGAACCTAAGAGGTGACATGATGGTGGATAAAAGGTTTTACTGTCTGGTGCAGTTCAGGTGGTTAAAGCTACTGTACATTTACTAACTCCATTGATAAAACACACAATAAACATGTTTGAAAGTTATATACCAGTTACATACCAATGTAAGGCAACTGTCATGACAAGTAATTTTAGGGCTGTAGAAAAAATTATATAAAAATCATATTTTACCACTATGTGCAGTACAAACTTTTATTGTTTCTCTTGTAAAGTTTTTTTTCCTCCAAAATATAGGCCAAATATTGCCCTATGGGGAAAATAAAGTCTTCTGAATCTGAACCTAAATCTGAAAGCTGAGACTATTGGGACAGATTGTTATACAGTGCATTTCACAGACTTACATACTTCAAATATTGTTGCTTGTACTAAGCAGTACGACCCAGTTCCTAACCAGACACTGCAGGGTGCGTTTGTGTGTGTTTTCAAGTCAGTAAGTGTAAGGTAATAAGTACAGATTCAATGTATTTCTAAAGGTAGTCAGTGTTTACCTCTAACCAGAGCTCTGTGTTGAAAACTGTTGGACTTCAACTTGAACTGTTAAAACACCACCCATATTTATACTTATATTCACATAAAGTTTTTTTTTTGTTTGTTTTTTTTTTTTTGTATTCATCGACATTCATCTATGTCCGAATTGAAAAGCAAGGGCAACAGAGCTTATTTTGATTCATCAATAAAAAATAAAAAAAATCAATTTTTTTATAAAGCAGCTAAACATTTTTAAATTAAAATGTTGTGTGGAGACACATGGACAGTTCAGATTCAAATTTAGTCCTGGTCTCACCATGGATCAGACAAGAGCACCAGCACTTTGATTAAAAGCTGCTCACTGTACCAGACTTTTGTATCACAACGGTGAAAGTGAGGCTCTGAAAGACTGCATTGTCTCTGCCTCAACTCTGTGGGTCAGGGTCCCCCACTTCCTTCACACGCTGGCACACACAAAAGAGGGAGACAGAGAGCAGAGTTCTCCCCCAGGGACACCCTGTGGTTGCACCGCATACCAATGAGGAAAATAACTGACAATAAGTGGTAAATTTGTGCAGCTGCTACCCCATTTGTGCTTAGAACTTTTTAGTTCAATAGGTTTTCTTGTATATGGTTGATGTACCTTACTGCACAAACAGGATAAAAATATTACTAACACTATAGGAATTATAGGTAAAAACAGTAAAAACAAACTGTTGCCCTCAGCTTAAGTCCCATGCTTAAGACACACTTTTAGTTCCTCAGAACAGTACTTGCAAATGTTGGTATGTGGAGATCAATATATACTTTATCTTCTTCTTTTTCTTTCGGCTTTGTCCCTTTTTTTCAGGGGTTGCCACAGCAAATCATTGATTTCCATCTCTCCCTGTTCTCTGTATTTTCTACTTTGACTCCAACTATCTGCATGCCCTCTCTCACTGCATCCATATATCTCCTCTTCGGCCTTCCTCTTTGTCTCTCTAACATTCTTCTACCAATGTATCCACTGTCCCTCCTCTGCACATGTCCAAACCATCTCAATCTGGCTTCTCTGGCTTTTTCTCCAAACCTTCCTGTCTGTGTTGTCCCTCTAATGACCTCATTCCTGATCCTGTCCATTCTTGTCACTCCTAGAGAGAATCTTAGCATCTTTAACTCTGCCACCTCCAGCTCCACCTCCTGTCTTCTGCCTATTGCTACTGTCTCTAAACCATACATCATGGCTGGTCTCCCCACCGTCCTGTAAACCTTTCCCTTCACCTTAGCTGACACTCTTCTGTCACAGATCACTCCTGACACTTTTCTCCAGCTGTTCCATCCTGCCTGTACTCTATTCTTCACCTCTCTTCCACAGTCTCCTCTGCTCTGAACAGTTGATCCTAAGTACCTAAACTCCTGCACCTTCACCACCTCTGCCCCTTGTAACCTCACTATTTCACTGTTCTCCCTTCCGTTTACACACATGTACTCTGTCTTGCTGCGACAGACCTTACAACTTTATATCATCTATATACGTATCTAGAAAGAGAAGGAAAGGCTCACCACGTACATATTATTAGGCTTTACACCTAGTAGTATTAATTAGAAAAAGTATTAATAAAATTAATACACATTTATATGTGCAAAGGTTATCGTTTTGGGCTTCAAAACGTCGACAAATAAATACATGAACCACAGCTGACACATTTACTGACATTCTCATTCCACACACTCTGGAATGTGACGTCTCTAAAGAGGTAAGAGGCCGAGCTCATGATGGGATGTTCCAAGATGAGAAGCGTATTTACGGTTTATAAATAGCTCAGTAGTAACAGAATGGGTGAGGCAAAGGGAGACGGGTTGTGGGTGGTGGGTGGTGGGGGAAGGAGACGATGATCGTTTGACACCAACAACACTATCTCCGCCCTCAGCCTGTCAGCAGTCAAATGGACCCGTCGACTTCTCCACTTTACTCTGCACTTCGACCAAACAAACGGTCGATCGGAGTTTTCGACAACAGTTTACGGCCAAAGTTCATGTGTTGATTCGGTTTTTGCTGAAGCTGCTTCGCTCTGAAGGACAGATTTATCGGTTGAAGCCACCGCAGACGCATGGACAAGAGAAAACGGAGGAGAAATGTTGGGTGAGCTGTTGTTGTTGTTTGAGATGTTATGAATGTCCAGGGCAAAGCATCGGGATAAAGCCCTAATGTATCCCTTTAACACTTTTACAACACTATATTTATATGGCAGGTTTCTTAATCCTACGTGGAAAATGATATTACAGAAGTAGATGTTGGATTAAAAAAAAACACCAGTTTCGACGACAATACATGCAGAAATTGTGTGGTAATAATGTTTATCCTGAGATGTATGTATGGAATGTGTATGTAAATTAGTTAAAAATTGATCATTTCACTGGCAACTTTTTTTTTTCATTGATAACTTTTGCATTTTTAAAAAACAGTATTATTGAAATCTAAATTATATTATTTGCATGAGATTTTTCTTTTGACAACTTTACAGCTTTACAATGCAACATACATTCAAACCCTGACTTTACTAAGATAACAGTAACAAAAGGTGAAGTCTGTTAATGTTTGACCTCAATATGTTACCAATTAAGATATATTATATGTTATGAATATATAGTCCAAATCAACGTCCATATTTAACATTGCTTAAAGTGTCGTTAATATAAACAGAAGTACTCCGAGGCTGTGGTTTATGCATTATATTATTGCATTACTCAGATATGTCTGACTGCAACATAATTTATGGCATCCCTGAAGAGTGTTACAACATCAAATGATAAGATGTATCATCTCAACCAATCTCAGTCAACTAAAACTGATGACATGCAGCTTCAGGTTATAAGCTGTATCACTATTTCACTTCCTGATAAACTTCCTCAAACACTGTTGATTCTTCAGTTTCTGTTGAAGAAGCTTTGGTCATGGAGCAGCCACGTATCCTGGAGAGGAAGGAGAAGAGTGCAGGCAAATGAACAGATTAATGTGAAGTTGTCAGCTGCCAGGTGAGGCTTTAGGCACAAACATTGGCCTGTTTTGCATGTGACCACCACAGGTCTGTGGCAGCGTTTGTGCGTGTTGTAAAAGAGGCCATTCTCTTCAATAGCTTATATTTGAATACATTCACATTGTATTGTTTGCACAGGCACAGAGAAGGCCTTGTTTTCTGAGTCACGGGCATGAGAATTTCGTCTCTAGTTGTTCTTGCTGCATTTTGCTGTTCCGTGACTCCAGACTTCAGAAATCAGAACTGTTCCTCAAACCTCGAGTATTTACACCTTTATCTTTATATTTTATCTCTGGCTGTCAATGTGTGTGTATTTTGATTCCTTCATGTGTTTGAGGGAAGTTTTTGAAGTGTTTGATTTTCTGAACCCTTGAACCCTCTAATCATGCAATTCCTGAAAAAGTTTTATTCATATATTTTTATCTGAATTCAAAATGATTGCAGCATTAGGCCGTAGTTAACACAGCGTTCCAAGGAGCTGTCTGTGTCTAACAAATGAGAACAAATTGTTCTTGTAGTAAATAAACATGAACCACAATCATCTAATTTGGTGAAGTAAATAAATGCTAATTTTTATAATTAGCCTTAATGAATAGCTAGTGTGACAGTTATGTGCTTGTTATATGCACCACTGACTGTGTGAAATCAATACATGCTTGCACACTCTTTTCAGATCAACATACACACAGAGACAGAATCTTCCTGCCATATCTTCCTGTATCTGAGTACAAAAAAGCTCCTAACATTTTGGAAATCTATTCATCAAAACTCCAAGAGCCATTTTATTGACAGTTTCCCAGTCAGTAATTACGAGGATAATTTTCTGCACAGTGATGCCAACAGCTTCCTGAGTGGGACCCATCTGGTACAAAGACCCAACAAATACGTTGGAGGGCAGATAAAATGCATCACTGCTGTCTAGTCAGACTCGGAGCGATCCATCTTTATTTTGCCTGCTCAAAATGCCTATAAAAGGAGGAATAACTTTGAAATGAGTTCCCAACTGTAGATTGAGACTGTTGCAATATATCCCCGAGTTGGGAGTGAATAGGGAAATATGTGCTCTCATTAGAAATGCATTAGAAGGAGAGGATGAGAGGTGAACCTGGAGAGGGAAATATTCACAATCCTTCTCCTGCTTGATTTCTCTCTGTGTGTCAAACAAAGCAGAGCAGTAGACCTCTGTGACCTATTTAGGCGATTAGATCCTAACAAATTTATCTGGAAAAAAAACATTACTGCTCAAAATCATGCCAAGGGGAGGCTAAGTCATTGCAGGCTGCATCTTTATCCCTCTAGTAATTTCATTCTTCCTTGTCAGTGTAATGGGATCAAAAATTTAAAAGGGAGAAACTTTGAAAAGCAACTGCAGCTAATGAGAATTTTGTTGTCATGTAATAATCTGCCACTATTCACCAAGTGTTACACATAATAAAGCTCAATGCCTTTCATGCCTTGTTTTTTTATTTCTAATATTGTTTTTAATTAAATGTGTTACCTTACTTGGGAGCTACTTCCAGGTTGAACCCTCTTTTGACTTTAAAGCTTAATGGAATGTTTGTGACGGATTCAAAGGTTTCTCAGTGATTTTGATTCACGTTGACTTGACATCATTATACTATACATTTGCACATTATCCAAATCACCTGTTTCATCAAAATCAAAGGTGTTGTATTGGATGTACACAGTGGTTCGCAAAATTTTTCAAGAATCAAAAATCTCGATAAATTAAGTCATATTATATAATGAATCAATATCAACATCACATAACACAATTTTCAAAAAAAGAAAATAAAAGTGCAGTTGTGCGGTCACCACTTGAACCATTTTCATGTTCCTTAAACCCCTCCATGATTATTGGGGTTTTTCTTCACAGTGTGTTATCCAAAAAGACAGAAGCAATCAATCAACAATCTTGTTAGAACTTAGCTAGAAGCTATGTTGGTATGTATGGGCCCAAAGTGTGCGAAGAAAGAATCCCCCACACTGATATTGAATATTATTATACCACCACCAGCAGTGAATCATTTATACAATGCAGGATGGATTATTTCCTCCAATTTCTGATACAGCGTCAATTGACACAATTTAGACCAAGAAAGGTATTTGGATTCTTCTTTTGTGTGATCATTTTAAACCTTGCGTATTGCATTGAAACAAATATGGCAACTGATGATATTCAACTTCAATATTCAGCATCCTAGTCATGTGACAGGATGCTGAATTTTAAGAACGAGCTTTCTTTTCGGCTCCAAACTTTCACCTGTGATGAAGAGTTTGGAAGGTGTTAGCTGGATGTTTTTACTTTATTTGGACCATTCCCAGTCACAGTAGAGATAGGTAGAGGGTAAGCTTACCGTAGATCAGGTGTTCCTGTATATACTAGCAGCGCAAAGGGAGTACTGATAGACTGAGGACAATTAAAATAGAATTTAAAATAAAGATGTCATTCTATATTTACGTTGAATCTCTTATATGATTAAAGTTAGTAATCATATAAGTATTGGATTAAGCATTTAGTCGAAGTTTATTAGGTTTATATGAGTAAATACATATTAAATATTATCAATGTAGTTAATTATGTAGGTTAATCATTTTAGCCCTAAAAGTTAATCATAGTAGCTCCCCAACCAAAAATCTATTGACACCCCTGTTTTTTTTTTTTCTGTCTTGTTCCCTAAATCATGCATAATCATCAACATCATCATCATCAAGATTCTCTTGACAACTTCAACAGGTGGAATTGTTGTAAGTCTGATTGGATGTTTGCATTGTTAAATAGGTGTTTTCAATGATGTGGCCCGTAACACGATATTAATAATGGGATTGAGCCACTTTGGCCCAGTGACTTGATTGTGAGGAGGAAAGTAATCTTTGCTGAGTTGACCTCAGGGGCACACCCAGCTGGCTCTCCTGACATCAAGGTTAATTGTTGTCAAATATGACAGTGTGTGTTTGTGTGTGTGTAGTGTGTGAGAGCAGGAGCCTGGAAACATTTCTTTTCATCTGAGCTATTTACTTTTCTTTCAGAGATTAGTGGTGGAGGTGGAGTGACCAGTGTGGAACCAAATGCAGACATTTTACACCTCAGTGTGAATTCTGATGTTGCCACAGTGAGCACCGTGAACACAGCTGAGCATGGAGCATGAGTTAAGGATGGGTCTGTCCGTGTGGGCCATCACAGCTATTGTTTGTAACTCTGTGGTTGGTGTTCTTATCCTCGTCCTCTTCATCATCCTCTGCAAGGCCTGCAAGGTTCCTTCACACACAGACAAAATGCTCACTTTCACAGTGCAGAAGCAACCAAGCACAACACAGAGATACCTGCTGACTGTAGCCTGAACACCACACGATGAGACTCTGTGGACCAGCCAGTGGCCAAATGTTGAACGGCAGAATTAAATTATTTTGTTATCTCTGGTTTCTTTTTACATGTATCTTTCTGTCACCTACATCCCCTCCACAGTCGGTGGAGCTCATGGTGAGCTAACTAAGCAAAGAGTTGTGACAAGGCCAGTGACAACAACATCAGTTGGGTCCAATCCTCTTATCTCTGCTGTGCAACGATGGGATTGTCCATCTGTCAGTCTGTTTGCATTTTCTCCCACACAGGCCGACCAGGATCTCCCCCTCTTCATCTTTTGATTTCGCCTGTCAGATCAAAACAAATGAGGAATTTGAGAAAATGTTATATGTTCAAGCCTTAAAATTTGCAATTATTACTTAGTATCATGTCAGTCTTGAAGATCACCCTCCTCCCATTTGGGTTTCAAAGCTGATGTTTTTTTTCTTGCTGAAGAAAAATAAAAATACATTTACTTTAGTTCACTAGTCAGAAGTCTGTGTAATGTGATGATGTCACGTCTGTGATAATTCTCCAACACATTGCCTGCTGCAGAATGCACTTGTTTCAACTCCTTTAAGAAAACACACTTTTTAGATTGCTCTCCTTTTCATATTTCAGAAGTACATGTCCTCACTTCCTACTCTGAGTTTCCTGAATGTTTTTAAAAGGGCTGTCAAATGATTACATTTTTTAATGTGATTAATCACGATTAATCATGATTTGGTGAGATGAATCAGCATTCATAAAATGTCCTCCTGACTTGTTAATATATAATTATATTTTTTCTTAAATTTCCCAGTCTTAGTTAAGTAATTAGCCATATCCCTTCACATTTGTATCATTGAGGACACATTTGAACTACTGGTACTGGATGGTTGTTGCTCAATGTTGCTGATATTGAGCAACAACCAACTTATAAGATTACTCCTCTATATGTGTCTCTGTGTTCAGTTAAAGTCTCAGTAGGAATAGTAGCCTCATCTGATTGCTTTTAATCAGGAACAAACAAGACCAGTGAAAACACTTTCTAATACTTGTCCATTACACAGTGTTTATATTTGCACTGGATCTTCATTGTCTGTTTTTCTCCAAATGAAAAATATTTTACAAAGCTGTTGTTATGGTCTATGGAGAACAATTTAAATAATGTTACATCACAAATTGGACTTCATATTTTAGTGTAAATTATAATTAGATTATTGTTGGACCATACTCCGCAGGAGACAAACACAAAACATCAATCAGACAGATGTAGCCTTCTCAATCTTCCATTATACTATAAGAATATATACTTACTATACTTTTTTTTTTATACAGCGATCAGCTCATTTTTCTATTGTCCACCTGTTTGGGGTCCTGTACAGTAGATAGATAGAGATAGATTGAAATGTATTAATCCCATGGGAGTTCCCTTTGGGAAAATAGACAGATAAGGAAAGTACAATAAATACTACAAAATACAAATACAAAAGGAGTAGCAGCACACTGTTTAGAAACGTGAACAGTGGATGTTAGTAGATTAGTAGGTTAGTAGTAGTAGATAGATAGGTTAGTGTTAGTAGATTAGTTTTAGCCATTATTATTATTGTGTGTGTGATGTAGATTGTAATCTCAATTATTATTTATCAATAATAAGTGGTGGCTTAGCGGTTAAGGAAGCAGACTTGGGTCCTGAAGGTTTCAGGTTCAAATCCACCAGCTGCCAAGTTATCACCGCAGTACTCTAAGCATGGTACCATGCCCACACAATGACAAGTAGTTCACTTTCCTTCCTTATTATATTTTTATTATAGTATTGTTATTACTAAACTAAATTAGTGTTACATATATATATATAAATATATATGTATAGGTATATACTTATATTTATGCAGCCATTATTATTAGGGGTTACTATAATTATACATGTCCTTTTATATAGGATAGATATTAGTAATATATTTATTTATACATAGTATATTACTTATGCATATACATATATACATACGACCACATCCACATACACTATATTACCAAAAGTATTGGCTCACCTGCCTTGACTCATACTATGAACTGAAGTGCCATCCCATTCCTAACCCAGAGTTCAATATGATGTCAGTCCACCTTTTGCAGCTATTACAGCTTCAACTCTTCTGGG